CAGCCGCTGCCCCTCCCCGCGACTGGGCCCCCCCCCATCCCGGTCCTGGGAAGTGCTCCCGGTGGAACGGGAATTTTCCGCCCCGCTCCCGTTGCAGAGGGATCGGCGCTTAAGCTGTGCTACTGGCTGTAACTGCCAGCCAAGTCCTGCCCACCCCCCTGCAGGGTTTGAGCAAGGTCTTGACCCCCAAACCCCTGAAATTTAACACCCATAAAATATTTTGGGCCAAAAGCGGGCAGATTTGGTTAATATAAACACGGCTGGATAAGTTTTGCGCTGCTGTGGGACAGCCACATGGGGGGTCGAGGGCCTCCGAGCCAAGCCAAGGAGGTTTGTCAATGCCCCGAGCATCCTTTAATACCAAGACGAGAGGGATTCCCATTTTAAACCCATTTTTCTGCCTGTTTTTAGGTCCCGTTTCTTCCCCACCGCATCTCGCCCGTCAGATGGTGCGGTCTGATGGGCGACTTTATGCCGGTACTCGCGGCTCGTCTACCAGTTAACCCAAAAAAAGTAAGTACGTTGATATATTCAGTTTTTCCTCTCAGCTACTTGAAGTCTGACGATACCTCGACTGCATAAAATGTCACGTAACTGCTGTTTTCCTCCTGTCACTTCTTTCAATGGGAGGAATAAAACGGCGATTAATTATGCTGCGCCGCACCGGCCTGCCTTTTCCTGCGATGAAATCAAAGTCGCCAGCGTGACATCAACCAGTTCAGCAAGCAGAGCGCAAACCGTCTCCGACACCTGCCTTTACTTGGCATCGAGTAGGAACCGCCTGCCAACATATTAAAAGCGTATGTTTGATAGCAAACTCCTTCCCGCGCCGTCTCGTGCCGTTAATCCCACCAGAAAGGTTGTTTTTTTTTTTTCCTCTACAAACCCCACGTTGGCCATGTCCATCTTCGCCACCGTTTTCCCAGCCCTTCTCTTCCGTTATTCCCCGTGCTTCTTGCGCCTGTTGGCCATCAGAAATGATAAATTTGTTCCCGTTGTTTGAGAATCTCCCTTTACTTTTCTCTGTTTTCCCATTTATTTGCATTTTTGGACCCCGGTAGTTTGTAAAACCCCAAATTTCTTCATCGCTCTGTTTTCACAGAGACCCTTCTCTTTCTGCCATTCCTCTTCCATCCTTGGGCTTTCCATCTAAAAGTGATCGTTTTTGTCCCTCAGCCAACGAGGCTCTTCCTTTAATGAATTTTTCTCTTCTACCTCTTTTCTGCAGCTTTAACAACAGCATCTTTAACCCGTTCCTATATCGACTGGGTCTTTTTACTCTTTATTCTCGCCTTCATCTCCTCTTGGTGCTGCCTGGTAGTTTCTTGATGCTGGCAATACCGATGTTAAGCAAGTCCAAGAGGCTGCAGCAGAGAGCTTGAACCAGCCAGCTGTTGAACCCACTGCTGCACCACGCCACGTCCCTGATATTTGGCCAGAGGTCGGAGAATAAATCTGATTTGTGCCCCAGCAACCACATCCAGCAGCCAGGTTTCAGCCATGTTGCTTGTTGGTTTTAGTCCCCTTTGTTGTATCCGGCATAGTTGAGCTCAAGCTCTAAGATTTGGCGATGAAATGATGCCCAGCATCCCAACGTGCTCCAAAATATCCCGATAATATTCACTTATATGGCACATATGATGTTGCAGCAGGTTTCTTTGAGCACAACGGAGGCAAGCTATAAATCCACAGCTAAGGAATTGGGAGAAGGTACCCGGGAAAACAAACCTCATCAGTGCGATATTTCCAAGCATAACCTTCCTTAGAAATTTCTTCAACCCATCTGCGAGGAAACGCATCATCCTAAACACTTTCTTCTTTATCTCAGCCTCCTCCCGGCATCAGAAATGCCTCGACGGAGATTTGCCTTACGGGATTGCTCTGGCAGCTGGTCAGATGAATGGAAAGATTAGATTTTATGGCCAAAGAATAATTTATTGCTGTCCTAAAATGAGGGTTTTTTTCAGCTTTTACCTGCTAGATTTGGTGTCATTTACTGCTTGTGTCAGAGATGCATTACACCTGTGGGGAAAAAAAAAAAAAAAAAACACACAGAAAGGGGGGAAAAAGCAATGCTGAAAATAAAATGTGAATTAAAAAATGTAGGAAAGAAGCAGAAATTGAGGATTTTCACGTTGTTTGCAGTGATTGCATGACTGTGGGAGAAACTTCGTATTTGTGGTGGTTTTTTCCAGGATAACGGCTGACGTAGGGATGTCTGCAGATCCGAGTTTCACTGAGACTTTTGACTTGTATCCAAACCCTTGCTCTGGGCGGGACACATCAAGCCGATGACAAACGATGTGGTAACGATTAATTCCAGGTCCAACATATTTGATATCAATAATCTAGGTACTGTAAAGCCTTTACTGGCAAGGCTCTCAAGCGATACCATGCTTTACGTGGTAAATAAGAAGTGGAGTCATCTGGATGCTGTTGGATGCTCACAGCTCAGCAAAACCCAATGCAAAGAATTTATCGGAACACAAATAATTCAGGTGATCGCTGATGGATGGGAGATGCTGTCCTGCCCAGGAACGATTTGAAGGATGCTTCATCACCGTGGGTAATTTTTCCCAAGGAAAAGATTGCGGCATTTCTTGGCAAAGACATGAAAAAATCCTGATGTTGGAATTGGACAAAACGGGCTTGGCAGAGAGACACAATTAGCGTCGAGGTTAATCAAACGCTTGGTTCAGGAGGACGGAGAGGTCACCTTACTTCAAGGGCTGCAAGGCAGGATCAGATGGATCAAAGCTCTTTTGTAAGATGCCGCTCGAGGAGCAGCCCCCAGAAACGGGGCGGGTTTGGGTCAAGATGGCCTTTTCTTGGGTTAAAAACTACAAATCCCCCATGCCTGGCTCATCCCAGTGGCCAAAATGACCAACATGATCTAATATCAAATGATATTAAATGGTCAAACTCTTGGTGGCGGAGTTGGAAGCACGGGGGGGATTGATTTAAAACTCTTTGCGCAGTCGTAAAACTTGCAGTTTTACAGCTGGAGCTCCCCGACACTCCAATATTAGAATTAAAAAGAAACAGGCGTTGATGCAAGCAAGAAAATATTCTGCTCCTGATTTAAAGACTAGCGAATTGCTAAATATTTTTATTAGCGGCAAATTTGCAGCTTGCTGGAACTAATTTCACGCCCGGTAGATATGGAGCTTAAGCTGGGGATGGCGTTAAATTACTCTCTTGTAAAGGTATTTAAGCCTTATGATGGGGATGCCGTGAGATGGTGGGGACCTGGCTGGGGACCCCCTTTTTGGGGGTGGCTCCCTGTGGATTGGGAGCCCTTTGGGAGCCTGGGGATGGTGGCCAGGGAAAGCCAAGCTCTTGTAGCCTTGGTACAAACCCATTGTTTCCCCTCCAGGTGCGATAGGAACCACCAAACCCCCTCATTTGCATAAATTTGCTTACGGAGGTTTGCTGCAGACCGGCGCAGGAGTGGGATGGTCACGGGGCCCCGGGATCCACCAGCCTGGAAAGATGCTATTTGTATTTTTGGGGTGTTTTTGACATATATCAGAGATTATTTAGGATATTCAGGGTTTAATTGATTTAATTAATTTTTTTATTCATTTAATTGATTTTAAAAGTTTACTTAAGTGATTTTAATTTTTTTAAATGGATTTTTTTATTTAGGATAAATTGATTTAACAGATGGGTAAAGGCAGGCACAGCTGGACCCCCGAGTGCCGCTTGCCCTCTGTGCCCATTATTTCCACGTTTTTGTCGGACGGAGGTTTTATGCCTCGGAGACAGTTTTCCAGCCGGAATCCCTCCGTCCTCCTCCTGCAAAGCCTCTGGGTGCACTGGGAACCACCCAGCTTAATGCAATGGGAAAAACCCATCCCGTTTCAGTTTGCCTGGATACAAACCGGGACAGGTGCAAGGATGGGGTCAGAGGATGCGGAGCCCGAGAAAGCAAAGCGAAGGCGTCGAGAGGATCCAATTACCCCTCTAAAAATACCTCCGGGAGGGTGGCGGTGGTAAACAAGAGCTATTTAAATCCCCCGGTCCACTTTCTGCGATGGAAATACCTGAGTTTAAATAGTTCTCCCCGACTTCTCGGAGGACGCGTATGGCTGAGAAGTGCTACGTTGCCCTTTTCCGAAGAGCAATCCCTAAGAAAAGAAAGTTAAAATAATAGCAGAGGGTTTGTAATGGCTCCGGTGGGGATACGGCTCACTCTCGCAGGAACCCACTTTGGATTATCTTTCTTTTGCTGATGGCGGAAATCAATTTTAATCGTCCTGACGGGAAATGAGGATGTAAGACTTCAAAACAGAACAAATCCTGCCACGTTCAAAACATAATAAAATGGGATATGAAGTCACTTTTAAAATAAAAAAAAAAAAATCCATCCCAGCAAGAGGAGATGCCTCTAAAAGCCCAAAAAGGCCGTGGTTGGTGGGAGGTAGAGGAGCGAAAGTATTTCCCATGGTGGGATGAGTGGGACCCCAACCGAGAAGCACTTGGAGAAGGTGAACGGAGGAAGACGAGGTGTCTCCGTCATCACCCGTTATGGTTCAAAATGCTCCCGAGTGGGAGGAAGTTGGTCAGTTTTTGGTTTTGGTGACTTATACTCAATGCGATTTTAATTCAGTCCGGTAAATTTGTACATCGGTACAAATAAGGCTTTTTGATACTTGGCTCTCTGAAGTTAAAGCAACTGCAGAGTGATTTCCCTAAAAAACCCTACAAAAAAAAGCTCCTACAGTTGTCTTCTGGGGATGCTCGAATGTCGTCATGCCCGAACGGAGTGACATTTCCCCATGGGATCAAAGCCCCTGGGTGATATCGTGGCAAAATCTGACCCTCGTGTTGACAACCTGGACACACCTGAGCGAAGAAAGGAGGAGGGAAACCTTCCGAGAGACTTAAATTGGGTTGTAGGGAGCCCTCCTTGGGTGCTGCAAGTGATGGAGCAGAGGCAAAGCTAAAGGAAGGAGTGAAAGAATGGATGAAAAATGAATGTAAGAAGGTTGAGGAGAGAAAGGACGGAAAGAACAAGGTCTGGGGAGATGCTAAAAATTACAATTTGCTTTTATAATGGCATTCCCAAAGGTGCTAAAGCCCGTGGTGAGATGTTTTTCATATGTTTCTCCAAGAAATGCTATTTCCCATCAATCTTACCTGTAAAAGAGTATCAATATGGGACATCCTTTTGTCATCGCTTCTGGAAACCTCTCGCCTTACCCGTGTCAACCCCTTCCTCCTTCCAACCCAAGAGTTTTTAGGCGAGAAACCAAGGAGTCATCGATAATAAAACCCTCGACACTTCACTTTAAGTGGCTCATCATCATTAGATCTTTTGGTATTCCTCATAATGGCATTAATCACCGGCCGCTCATTAGACTTTAATGGGCCCGTAATATGTTCATCCGTAGTAATTCAATTGCAATTGAGCGGTCGATAATATCTCCTTATTGGAAAGGGCTGGGCGATGGCAACGTCCATCCATGGTGGGGTGTTGGGTAACCGTGAGCACCCGCCATCTGCTGCAATGGCCCGAATTTGTCGCCGCAGTCCCCAAGACGTTCAGGCAGGTTGGTTTTTGGCAGCCAAGCCCGTTTACAATTTTAATTGCGGTTTTATTCTCTGCTCCTTGCAACACCTTGCTCTCGCCCTTTTTCATTTGACGTATATCGATTTTTTCCCCCCCTTCCTCGGGTGGCAGCTTGGAAATGATGCGGCTGTTGTTTTTGTTGTTGTTAAAAAAATTTAATTTCCTTCCTTATTTATGTCTGGCGGCGGGGAAATTAGTTGTGATGGGAACTGTCTGGGCCTGGAGCAGCAAGGTCAAAGCCCTGCGTGGCTCCTGGGAGCTTCCTTCAAAAGTCACAGCGTTGCCCTTAAGATCTCCTCTCCCCAAATCCTGATGAGCACGTGGGATGTGGCTTTTATATCCCCAAATTAAATATTGGATTTTCGCACACCTCAGGGTCACTGGTAAAAAGGATGTTCTCGTGTATCCAGCCATCGAGGTGCTTGATCAACTCATGGCTTCATCCTACCACCTGTGGACAACCCAAGGATGGAGATCACCCACCTCTTGGGGACTTCCCCAGGCTGCACCGACCTCCCTGGCCAGGTGTTTCTCCTCACCTCCAACCTGACTTTTTAGTTGCTGATGGATGGCAAAAAAAATAGGAGATGAGTCACAGAATCGTAAAATCATGGAATCATTAAGGTTGGAAAGGACCTCTGAGATCATTGGTCCTTCCAAAACCATGCTGCGGTTGCCCCATGTTCTCCAAGGGCACCATTTCATTTCAGCCCTGGGGTTTTGGTCTCGGACCTGGGGAGCTTTGCATCCCCAAGGATGCATAAAACTTATTTTGCTTTCCTTTGCCTGCGGAGGAGATATTATGTAGTGCTTTGGTTTTCTCAGGTCCATCAGCAAGTCTCTGAGATAACTCCAGCAGCCAAGGGTATTTAGACGGTATTTAAGATCCTTTTGGGTAACCTGTGCAAAAAAAAAAAGTATGAAAAGGCGGCTAATCAAATGGCTTTGAGGGCTGTAAAAAAGCAGAATTCAATCCCCGCAAACTTTCCGAGATGTAATTTCAGGAGAGATCAAAGATGACACTAACCTAAGGAAGTAAAGCTACTCAAAATTCAAAGTTTATAGTCCATCTGTCTCTTTGCTTCAGGGAGCCAGTATTAAATTTATTGCTAAATAAAACAAATAAGCCTAGGAAAAGTCGGCGTCGAAATCTGCATACTCGTAAGAGAATTAACAGAGCTCTCTTGTTATGATGGCTGCTTCTCAATTTGCATCTTTAAAGAGTTGTGACCATCTCTTTGCTTCTCCCTTCGTCGGCTCTTCTGAAGCCGGGCCGGTGCCGGTGGTTGGCGCCGCGCTCGTGTCGCTTGGTGAAGAGATGCTGCGGGTGAAGGTTGAACTCCCATCGCGGATTGAACCGAAACGAGGATGGGGAGGGGATGCTGAAGCCCAGCCAAGGTGCAGAAACATCTCAGGTGGAGCCAAAATTTAAAAGGGCAGGATTCAGCACCTCCGCGTCGCTTTTGCCGGCTGCCTGGTACCCAACTACCGCAGATATCCAAGAAAAAAACACCTTGGGGGAGTTTTATTTGCTATCCCTGGCTTATCCCATGAATCAACCCTATTTTTTCTTTTCTCAGCGTTTGTACAAGGTATAATTTTATGATTATTTAGATTTTTTTTTTCCCCCCGGTGCGTATCCCTCCAGCCCATCCCTATCTCAACCGGCCGATACCGCCTCCGGAAAACAGACTCCAAATCTTGCCCAAGTGCTGGAGGTAAGTCACTTTAAACATCCAGATCCTCCTTTTTTTTTTTTTTAATCCTGGAAATGCTTGGGAAAGGATCAGTCAATCGGATGCTCGCAATAACTTTGCATGGGAGAGCCTGAAGGAGCAGCAAGAACCAGCCGCGGACTTATTACGCCTTGAAATTAAACATTTAAAAGGAGTAAGTTGGCAGCAGGGATTTTCTAATCCAAATATATATAACCTGCCATTATCCAGCATTTTTCCTCCGGAAGGACCCCAAAGTGCTTTCCCGGCTCCGTGAGCCATCATTAACCCCCGCTCAGCCAGCGCGGGGAGGGGAGAAATCCCATTTTTTTGGGTATTTTACCCCTCGATCCTGGCTGCTTCGTAGAAGCAACGACAGGGAAAAATCCTTTCTTTTGGCATTAGCTTTTCTTATTATCCATCCATCAAGCTTTAATCTTATTTAATCTCGCATGGGGAAACCTCCGGGAATATCGAGCCATCCCGGCATCGATCACTTATTCTTAATCCATCCTCCTTGTGCCTATGGATTATCGATAAAGCCTTCAATTATATTCTCCCGTGTATTTATCTATTAATAGTTGTCAAATCCGTGTAGCGTTACTTGCTCTTACTCGTGTGTCTGAGACTATTTAAAATGCACGGTGGCTTTGAAAATAATGCTGGCGCCTCGGTGCCATAAATCTTTTTGGGTTTGCTCTCTTATTATTCCCAGGAAAATCACGGGCAGAAGTAAAAATAAACATATTTAAGAAGAGGAGTTGCCCTGTGGGTATCTGAAGTCCCACAACCAGAGGGAAGGCAGCTTTAATAGAAATCCTCCATGTGTTAAATAGTTCAAATTTAGGGAATCCCTTAATTTCAGCCCGGATTCGGTGCGAGCATCATTGGGTTCGGACAGACAACTGTCCGCGTGTCCCGTCCCAGGTTGCTTTTAAGGTTGCGTTGGATGACGCTGATTTTTTTCCCTCTCTTCTTGAAACTCGTAACTGGAGTAGGTTTTGCAAGGTGTGAGAAATACCTGTGTCCTAAACGTCTTCTAAAAATCCAACACAAACGGTAACGGGTGATTTGCATGAAGCATCGTCCCCCCATCGCGGCGCGGTGCCCGAGCAGGAGGGCTGAGGGGCCGCTGGGTACCACCACCGCCGGAGCTGGGACGGTTTGGAGCCACGTCTGCTCCAAAACAAGTCCTAAATTTTCCTTAGAGCTCCCTTTTTAGCATCCTTGAACTCCCGAGGGGGCCGGCCTCCTTGCGGTTTGGAGGGGATATCTTATCCCTCCAACCCAGTGCTTAAGCCGGGCTCAGCCGCAAAGCTCAGCCTTAGGAGCCAAGCCCCGGCCGTGGCTGCATCCTAAACCCCCGTCTTGTTTTTAACATCTCTCGTTTAATAATTTACTCGGCTTCGCTCTTATGTATTTTTCAGAGTATCCCGTCACAGTTTTCTTAGAGAAATCCGACACGAGCAATAATGCAATCTTGGAAAGAGAATTGAATTATTTATGGAGGAGCAGTCAAACGACGGAGCCTAAACCGCTATATTTTATGTAATTTGTTTTCTCCTGAAGCCCGTTATGTAAAAATGTAAATATTGCCGGTTATATATGTCGCTGCTCTTGCCAAATGTTTAATATTTTAGCAAACTCGCTCCGAGTACTCATCACTTTTGAGAAGGAACCGTCCGCGTGCTCTTGAATAAGCGCTGATTAGTTTGCGCTAATTATATATTTACGACGCCGACTTTGAGTGCGCAAAAAAAGCCCCCGTCCCTCCGAGATGCCCCAGTGTTGGGGCAGGTAAAGGACGCAACCCCCAAATTTTGGGGGACCCCTGAGTGAGGAGGATTGAATTTTAGGGAGGTTTTCCAGCCGTCCGTGCCCCGGCTTGGGATGGGGATGGGAGCTGGACTCTGCATCCCGAGCATCCCGGGTCCTGCAGATCTGGGGGGGCTCAGGGTTGGCAGGATGAGATCCGATCGGAAAAAGATCGCCTTACAGCAGAAAGATGCTTTTCTGGGGGGAAAAAACCCAAGATTGAGTGCAAGAGGCTTTTAATTTACCGCCGAAAAGAATACAGCAAGACGCCATGGCTGGATGTTGAAGCGGAGCCAATCCAACTGGGAAATCAGGCGCCGTGTTTTTTTGACCAGGGATTAATTAACCTCCGGGAAAACTCTCCAGGGAAGCAGGGACTTCTGCATTTGTGGAGGAAAAATCCAGGCCTGGATACTT